GGTAAAATGGGTATACTGTATTTGTGCAAATGTATGTAACAGGCAGAGGGAGGCGTCTTCGACTTTCTTTCTATTTGTTTTTATACCCATTAAAAATGGGTAAAATGGGTATACTGTATTTGTGCAAATGTATGTAACAGGCAGAGGGAGGCGTCTTCGACTCCACTAAGTAAATATATTCTTGATCAGCATCAAAAGTCGAGTCGATCCAGCCAGGTCCGTCTGTTTCCGATAATCGATAATCGATAACTTGCCACGTTTCGATAAAAATCAATGTCGAAATCCTGTTTTTTTTAGCCAATCTCTTAGGTTTTAAGAGCTAAAGTCTTCAAATTAGACATGCAACTTCTTGAATATTATCTATATCAAGTTTCTTTAATGCTTTTTTAATTTTTAGGCATTATTACTAAAGCAAACGTGTTGGTAGAGGAGGGGTTCAGGGTATCGTAGGTAGGGAAACTACCGACTAGAGCCTCTTGTATTCTTTGTGAGCAATAAATGGAATAAACAAGTGTAAAAGGAACAAATTTTAGCTGGATTTGAACCGGCAACCTTTCGCTTATTAGTTCAACGCTCAGAAACCTAACCTCGCAGGCTTATGACGTAGACGCTATTTCTTCAATTTTGACCACGTTATTTTCTCTCTTCCTTCTCTTTGAAAGCAAAGGGAAGCTTTAGTAAAAATGAACGCTTCCTAGCTTGGAGGGATAAGTCATTAATAAGTCAGTCGGAACAAACAGTTTTATATATTTACATACATAGATGGGTGCAGGATATAAACAAGATAGTTAGTGAAGCAAAGAGAGAGAGGGGGGGAGATAGATAGAGCGGGAGAGGGTGGTACAAAGTGGAACCTAGTCAGCTGACAAATGCTTTTGCCTTGATTGACAGCGAACGTCGTCGCAAATTGCCAATTAAAAAGTGGCAGCACCTAGAAGAAAATATTAAACATATATACATACATATATATATATGCATTTACAGAGTATGGTAAATTGTGACTGGGATAGCGTGGGGCACGCCCAAGTTGCTGCTAAATAAAATATGAAAACATTTCCTTGTCCTTTGGCTGCTTATGAAAATTTAATTACGCGCATTTTGTTTACATTTTCACGGCTGTCGCCGCTCACAAGTTCCAGCAAAAATGGGCCAATGACCAGCGGATCCCCTGCACCTCGCACCCCTCTTCAGCTCCCGAAATGTGCCTCATGCACGCACCATAAGAATAACAGGCGGCTGTTCAAATTCTGGGCGTGGCCCTTGATTCGTGTACATATTTATGAAGAGTAGCCTCACGAGTCTGAGACCCCGAATTCCAGCTCTGTCTGTGACTGGTCGGGACGCATTTGAAATGCCAAGCGCTGAGTCAACAGCTCGTTTATCAATTGGCTAATAACTCAGGTGATAATGCCATTTTCCGCTTCTGGTTACCCAAGCATCAGGCTTTCCACACACAGCTCTATTAGTTGTGCAACTGTTTTATATATAATTGTAATATATGGAAATGTCTGGGATTAGCTTACAGGGGGGCAACTATTTGTGTCTCTTGTTTACCCGCCATATAAAGCTTAGCCGCGGCAGACGAATAAAACCTCGCAAATGCACACAAATTAAACCAGAAAGAAATATAGTCGACCTGGAGATACCCTGTGCTCAAATATAAGGGAATATATTTCTATTCAAATGTATTCCAAATCGAGCATATATATATAATCTTTATGAGATCGAATGTACACGAGCGACCATAATATAGTCGACTTGCAGATACCCTGTAGCCAGAATGTACCCCAAAGAACTCGAAGATATATACTTTATAAGATCTCAAAAGTCATTTGCACTTTTCCGTTAAATTTACTCCGTCCCAGTAGACCCCATTCCACGCACTTTCAATGCGTATAAATTGTACAACAGGTAGTTCAATATGATGATAGTAAAAACACAAAATAGTCCATATGAACACACACACACACACACACATATGTATGTGGCATATAGATATTTAGATATTTGTTCAAGTTTATAGATTAAACAAACCATAAACTGAATGCCTGAATTCGCGAGTACTTTAGGCAGCTTATAAATGTTATTAACTTAAGACTTTTATGAGTGGATAGATTAAGTGAACAAGCACAGTAAAAAAATTATAAACAAAATATGGCACGCTTAGATTTACGGCTAGAATTACACAAATGCGGGGAAAATTGAGAAAACTTGTTTGTAAATTAGTTTGAAAAACAACAATAACTCTTTTTTAACCGATTTTTCCTATAGAGCTGTATGATATAGTACTTTCATACAAACGTTTTTCGGTATTTTCCAACACATACGGGTGGATATTGCCGAAATCCAATCAGTTAGTCAATCAATCAATCAGTCAGTCAATCAATCAATCAGTCAAGACAGTTTTATATATAGCGATAGTGGCCCCCCAGTCTGATCCGCTTGACACTAATATGTTACTCCGATTAAGATATATGCATATATTTCAAATGCCAGCATTAGCCTTGGCATATTTCCTCGGAAAGTGATAAGACCTTCAGTTGTGACGTCCGAATAAATACAGCTGTCAATGTGTTAATTGTTGTTATCAGACTTAGTTGTGCTTAAAATGTGTATTTACTTAAAGCTCCAATTGACTCTAAAAGCTTGTAACTGCCAGACTAGCAATTGCCGGGAAAGAAAACATTTGTTAATTACCCGAAAATAGCGGTACCCCTCAGCGAACAGGAGCTTTAACAGAGGCGCTGATAAGTGCCGTTAGAGCTGCTGCTGATTGGTAGCCGAACAGCAGCAGCAACAGGCAGCAGACTGCGCGCCTGTATGTGTGCGTGTGAGTGTGCCCAGTTTTCAGACATGAGTCATTCGCGCAGGAGAGTGTGCGTTAACTGAACGTAAACTGAGCGAAATAGAAAGCCGAGACATTGTGACGTCACCAGCAGCAGTTGCTTTGCTTTGGGGTTCAATGTACGAACAGCTATCTGTAGAACATGTTTTTAATGTGTGTTCTCAGCAGAATCAAAGCAAATAAACAAATTGTGCAATTGCAATATTGAAATACACACACACACATGCACATAGATATAGCAAATTCAAAAAAAGAGTGACAGAGAGAGAGAGAGGGCAATTAGCGCGCCCAACTTTATGGAAAGAGTAACTGGGGGGGTGGGGGAGCTCAAGCGGAAGCTTTACACGGAAGCTGCTGAGCAGCGTTTGAACACGTGATGGGAGAAAGCGTCAACGTCAACGTCAGCAGCGCTTTTAAAAATATTAATTGATATGCATTTGCTTATTGCGAAGTAAATATATATGTATGTGTGTATGTACATATGTACTTACACACACTAAGAACACGTGAGCGTGTGCGTGTGTGTGTTAAGTAAACATTTGGCGACAGTGTGCAGCCAAGGCCAAGGCTGCGGCAGCAACAAACAACAACAACAAAAAGAACAACAATGCGCGCCACTGTCGCCAGTGCTGCCAGCGTCTGTGCCTTAGCAGCTGAACTTGTTCAAGGTCAGCCCCATAAGGCGAGCACCGACGCGACGGCGACGCGACATGCAAAGCTACCAAAGTTGAAGTGCCAAAAGGAAGCCAGCGCGCAGTAGCAGAGGAAGCAGAAGCAGCCGCCAATGAAATTCCGCAAATAAAACAAATTGAACAGCAGCAGCAACAACAATTACGCCAGCTAAAGAGAATGTGCCAAAAGCGACATATGAAGCATTGCCAGTGTTGCCACTTACTCTTTTAATGCCGCCAAATCTGGCCTTTTTCGGCTGATGGCAAACTGAATAGTTACAAGACAACTAACAGGAATAAAATGGGAATAATAATAAATAAAACATTAACAAGTTTTTTGGTCTGCTACATCATGTTCTTCTAAATATGTTCTATGCAAGAGTATTTCATCTTCGGTGTGCAAACATAGCGTACTTCTTATAGCTCTTTTTCGCGGCCCAAAAAGCTGGCAACACTGAGCATAGCAAGCAGTTAGCGAGAGTGTGGGTGTAAGAGAGACAAACGCTGGCAGAGCGGCGGCGGGCACAACAATGCTGTTCGATGATGCTTACGTTGCTGATAAGAAGCGGCGACACCTTCGCAGCGGGCGACGGTGGCAGGGTACAGGTGGCAGCCAGTTCTATAAAAATAGAATATAAGCAATGCGCGCATATATGCATACACCTAGCATATATGTATATGTGCATATTAAAATGAATTTAAACATCATTTTCACGCGTAATTAAATTTATAATTTACATCTCACACTTAATGGCGCATTGGAGCTTTTTTAACCGTTTGGCTGCGACGTCGCTGCCGCAGACGCCGCTGTTGTTGCCGTGGCGCTTTTTTTTTTATTCGCACATTAAGTGACGGCCGCCCACACACACACACACAGCGACAGAACGGGAGAGAGAGTGAGAGAGAGGGCAGATTGACAGCCGCTTTCGGGGCATCGCAGATAAGAAAGGACGAAAGGCAACGAAGAACACAAATTGCAGTTGGCTCCAACCGACTAAGCAATACACTGCTTACAAAGTGCACATATTTTAAACTTTCACATATGCGTTAAACACTTTCGTGAATTTCGTTTTGACAACAATGTTTATATTCAAGGCAACACAGAAGTCATCTTGCCCGTGCGTTACGAGTTGAGTGACAAAATCATAATGCCCTGTGCAGGACGTGTGCAACAAGGCAACTGCGCTTTTTACTCTTGTTGCTGTAGCGCTGCAGTTTGAATTGTTTTACGCACACATATTATTTTATAGCAACAATAGTCAATTTATATTTGATTGAGCACAAGGAATTAATTCAGGCAACACGTTTTTAGTATCATTTTGAGCACATTGCACTTTGCAAATTGGAATTTGCAATATATATATGTACATGTAAATATTTCAAGGCGGCTGCTGTGAGGGTGGAGCACGCACGCACGCACGCACACACACGCATACACAAGCGCTCACACCAACACACACGCACACACATAGAGGGACACTCACAAGGATGCTCCGTTTGATGCTGAATGCTGCGCGTCGCTTTGGCTCGGCAAATGGAAATTTTCACATTTTCTATTGTTGCTTTGAATCACTTTGTCACTATATGCTTGTATTTTATTGGCATCTTTTTGTGTACACGTTTATTAACTGCTAATTGCAATACGAGAAACAAACCGCGCGCGTAATTTTCACAATATATTGCAGAAAGCAGAAATTTAACTTTTGTGGCGCACGCGCTTCACTTTTGTCCGCTCTTTTTATCCGCGCTTGAGACGTGCGTACTATCTCTTGGAGCAGCCGGCGCACCACTGAGTTCGGTGTTACCTTAGTTCGCACACATACGCATGCATTAAAAAAATTTAAACAATTTAACGCCAAACGGCAGACGCGAGAGAAAGTGAAAGAGAGCGAGCGCGTCGACACGCACGCGCTTCCCAATGTTTGAGGCTCGATAATGTGCTATCGATATATCGATAGACTGCCTTGCACAATAATATTTTCCCGGTGCTAAATCAAACTATGTATTTTGAACGAGAGTGTAGTAGTGTAGTGTAACTTAATAAACTGTTGTTTCTACACATGTTAAATGTTTATGATATTTATCCGTGCATAATATGACGGCTTTGCGCTAAAAATACTAACAACAAAGGTGTGCGCTATGACGCTAAAAAAGACCAAAAAGTTTGCTGTAAAACAGCCCGCTGCAAAATGTGCCCTAATATATAAGCCAAAAATACCAAAAAAAATGTGCCCTAAAATATACCAGCAAGTTTCCAGTCAACATTATCCCGCTTATTGAAATGTGTTTTCGGTGTGTGTTTTTGTTCTTGAAATATATTTACAAATATAATACAACTAAATATAGGCTAGTGATAAAGTGAGTTGTACATGGAAGCGATCACAATTTAATATGCAGGCGTTATACACTTATAATTAAAACTAACAATAGGCATCTTTCAGGCACTTTTCGCTTTACGTCCCAGCAAGAGGCTGGACAAATTGCTGTAGGGCAGCTCAAAGGCCAGCGAGAAAACGATGGAGGCCAAATAAACGATGACCGCGAAGCCACAGCTGACCACGCACTGCAAAATAACATATTTTAATATACATTTTTGATGGAAATTTCATATAACGCACCAGCATGAAGGGATCCGCGTGCGTGCTGGCGCTGGTCAGGCTGTAGAAGAGGGCAATCACCAGGGGATTCAGCAGATAGATGGCATAGGACAGCCGGCTGACGTGCTGGAAGCCCTTGGCCTCCAGCAGCCGCGACCACCAGACGCCGCGCCCCTGCGCGCTGCCCGCAATCATCCAGCAGACGCTCAGCGAGAAGAAGAGCCTGCCCAGCACGAACAGCGATATGGCCAGCAGCGGGCCCAGATCCCGCCGGATCGTCGAGTAGATGCACGCGAAGAAGACGAGCAGCGCCAGGTGCCAGGCGCAGCGTTCCCTCAGCTCGCTCAGCGCCAGCTGCGGACGCCATTCGAGCAGCGACCAGGCCGTGATCGCGCCCAGAATGTAGGGCAGAATGCGTACAAAGGGCGATGTGTAAATCTCCGTGCCGGTGGCAAAGGCCGCATCGAACGACAGCTGAAACCTAATGCTCAGTCCGATGGCATAGGACCACGTGATGGTGGACACCAGAGCCGCCGCCACCAAACCCTTTGTCAGCCTGGGATGCCTGCAAAGGAAGAAGGCCAAGTGCTTGTAGATAATATTCTGGAACAACTGATTCCTCAACCTTACTTGGCATAAAGGAAGAGCAAAACGTTGGCCAGTATGAAGAACTGCATCTCGCAGGCGAGGGACCAGCTCCAGTTGGCGCACATGTCGCGATGGTCGAAGAGATTCTGTATGAAAAGGAGATTGCGCCACCAGTGCCTGGAGCACATCTCGTCGAAGCGTTCGTTGATGTGATAAACCGAAGTGTCGCCAATGTAGGCATAAACCAGATCCACCGAGGCCATCACCACGAGATAGAGTGGACCCAGGCGCAGATATCGGTGGAAGAGCAGCTTGCCAAAGAGCCGGAGATTCTTGAGCCAGCCATTGCGACGCACTGCGTCCAGCTGCGCCGCGTTGCGCAGAAAGTTGTACGTTTGCAGGAAGCCACTGAAAGCAGAAGAAGGAAGATTAAAGAAGGATTACGTCGGGGATCTAAACCCACCTGATGGTAAAGAAAACATCGACCAGCAGCGGCGCCGAGGAGACGTACTGGAAGAACGCCTGCTCCGCGTAGGTGATGAGCACGGTTTTGTTGTGCACGGTGAAGTACATGAACCACACCACATGGAAGATCATGATCCAAATGGCGCACACGGAACGCAGCCCGTTCATTACGGGTATCTCGCGTGCGTTGTTATCGCGCACCGCAAAGATCTTAGCCCAGTTGCCGGGCAGATCGTAGCAGCTGACCAGCTGCTGGAGCTTTTGCCAGCGGAGCAGCGCGTGCAGAGCACGCCAGAGCTCAGATTCGGCTGGCGCCAGGCCAAGATCCTCACCAGCTGGCGGCAGCTTCTTGGCCGCCAGCAGCTGTTGGGCACAGAGCATAAGTCCGGCCGTGGCCAGGACGCAGGCCACAAGCAGCCGGAAGCTGGAGCGCCGATAGAAGACATCGCGCAGCTGCAGATCCTTCATGTAGAGCACCTCCGGCCGTATGTCGAAGATGTCGTTATCGGCGAACATGCCGCGCGAGACATACTCACCGGCCAGCTGTTTCACCTCGCCCGATGTGCACGCCCTGGGCAGGCACAGGCCAATGTGTATGATCTGCTCGGACATCAGCTTGATCTCCACCTGCCACGGCGAATTGTGACGCAGATAGATCACACGATAGTCCATCTCGAACGGCGACTGCTGTGTGATCAGCCCATGGTGCATCACACGCTCAAAGTTCTTCGACAATGTTATGCCCACCGGACGCTGGACGCCCTTGCACGCCTCCCGGCTGCCCAGCCAATAGTTTTGTCCGTAAATAAAGCCAGAGGGCTTTGTGCCGGATGCGTCGAGCACTGCAAGAAACGGGCATGGAAATTGAATCATTTTATACGCAAAAAAATGAGTGGAAATTGCTGCAGGCTTTGAACCGTCAACAAATGTGGTTTGAACCAGCAAGGCTGATTGGTTAATATTTGACTTGTTCGTTTTTCGGAGCAACTAATTCGGACTGAGGCTTTGTTGAATAACTAAACAAATCATTGGAAATTGCTGCAGGATTTGAACCGGCGAGCTACCGCATTTAGTCAACAAAAGCGGTTTGAACCAGCATGTCCGGTAAGTTCATTTGTCCGATCGTTTTTGGAGCATCTAGTTCTTCTTGAGTCTCGGCTCAATCTAAACAAAATCATTGCAAATTGCCGCGCGATTTGAACCAGCGTTCTTTCTCTTATAGTAAACCGAGTTGCTTGATTAGTCGGCTTCAGGCTCGCAAGTTTTTTGGGCATCTGATTCGACTTGAGGCTCAACTCAATTACTAAACAAATAAAAATTAGAAATGCTTGCAAGATTTGAACCAGCATTCTTCCGCTTCTCGTGAACACAAATAGTTTGAACCAGCATGTTCGGTAGGCTCGTTGATCTTAGGTCCGATCAATTTTGAAGCAGCTTGGTTTTACAAGGCTCGGCTCAATCGCTTAACAAATAATTGAAAATGGCTTCAAGATTTGAAACAGCTTTATTCCTCTTTTAGTAAACAGACTTGGGTTGGTCGACCACTTTATGCTCGCCTGTTTTTTGGGCAACTGATTCGGCTCTCCCGCGTCAAGTTGGCCAAATTTTAATTCCAGGTTCGAACCGGCACAGCTCAAAACCGGTTTGCGTATTGTTAAAGCTGCGTTCTCTTGTGGCAGGCACGTGTTTTAGATTGAGTCATGGGTCTTTCTATTAATTGTAACCAAACACTAACCAAACAGTTGCATATTTTGTCAATAGATTTGTTTTTGATGCTTATTGACAACTAGTCACCTAATCGTGAGTGTTTGCATTATTAATGCGGATGCTCAGACGTCTAACTACAGTGAAGATTTAGCATAAGTTATATAAACTTGAATGCATAGACATCAATGTGTAATTGCGGGTATTACCCGGCTTTGAGCGAGTCAAGGATTGAAAAGCGAGAAATATGTCTGATATATTTTCTCTATTTATAGTTAAACAATGGAAAAAGTGTCATTCTACAGTTTTTCACTCATTTTCCACCTTTATGGGTGGAATGATTTCTTAGTTTTCACGTTAGTGAAAATCGAAGCTGCTTAACTCTCACAACTTAACCATCAGTTAGTCAGCTTTGTGTGTAAAACGACGCAATTGATTGACTTATTGATTGACTGATTGTCAGACTGATTGGTGTTGATTTGGCCAAATCATACAAGCTACGAAGCTGAACTTTTCTACTTAAGCTTTCTTTTAGTTTCCCAAAGTGTCTACCAAGACGAGGTTTATAAAAGGTCCGTTAAATGGGAAAAATAAAACACTAGCTTGTAAAAATTAGTTCATTCGACCCTGACAACGCCGGGTACTCGTTTCTAGTTTCGCATAAATAGTTGGTCACACTCACCTTTCATGGCCCAGGGCTGTTTGCTGAGTATGCCGCGCTGCACCTGCCGCAGCTGCGACTGGCATACGGCGCTCGCATTGCTCCCGTTGAGCACCTTGGTCAGGCCAAAGATGACCGAGGTGCGTGTCAGATGCGGCTCCAGCAAATGGCCGCCGCGCGAGGTGGCCGCATCAAGGTCGGGCAGCTGCTCCAGCAGCGAGTCGTTCAGGTGTTGCTGATAAAACTGCAATTTCTGCTGCTGCTGCTGCTGCTGCTGCCAGTCGGATGCGGAGCTCTGGTTGTTGGCCACGCCCTTGGCAACGCCCAGCAATGCCAGCAGCCAGAAGGTGTGCCAGAGCTCCATGTTGCTTGACTCTGGCGCTAACCTTGCTTTATTTGTTATTGTGATTAGGCACGTCAGTCTCTCGGCTTATTGTTTGCCTAACCTGATTAGTTTTTGGCCAGCTTGAAGGTCGTCGTCGCAGCTTGTAATCTTTTCAATTTAACTTTGTGAACTTAGCTAATTATTTGGACAACAGCTTTTAGAGAGTCGCATGCAAGCTGAAAGCAAACCAAAGAGAATTCCAATTTAATAAAGCCTGAGGACCCAACCAGGCTTGGCGAAATATCAACCAAGTCAACTGTGTTGTAATAAAAATGTAAAAGAAAACAATTCAAATTTAGCTCACAAGATGCAACAAATCTAGCCTTTTTAAATGCTATTTCTAGCTACTTTTCACGCGCTGCGGCTAATTAGAATATTGCGCATACGCCGCTTGAGCCGCCGCCTTTCACACTTTTGCTCGCAAGTTATGCAACAATTAACACTCCATTTGCATTAATCATAATTTTTGTTTTATTTCATGGCATTTTTGTTTAAATAGATATGCATATAAATATTTATTGGCTCTTTCACAAACCCATCAACGAAACGTAGTAAAAGTTTTTGGAACGCAACCATAAGATAAACAAAGCTAAAGCAAAACAAAAACAATTAAGAGTGCGACAATTGAGGCTGACTGACTAGTAAATACCCTGTAGCCTATAGATATATGCAGAGGTTGTGCTCTCTTTCCATCTTCGATACCTTTTATTGTTCGATTTTTGATGCCATTCAAGCCTGTTACGAATCGATAGATAATTATCGATTCTGGGCAAATGGCTAGAGTTATCGTACAAATATAGCTAGCTTCTATATAACGAATATATATAAGAAGCGCAGCTATATATACAAAAATTTTATATAATTTATTAAGCCTATTTCTGTAAAAATCGATATTTATCGATTTTGGAAAAGGGTCTAGAGCTTAAGTATATTTAACGTACATATAAGAGGATTAGCTATATTTATAACTGAGAAATTTTCTGTATGTATCGATATTTATCGATTTTGGGCAAGTGTCTAGAACTATCGTAAATAGGTAAACTCATTCTTAACCTTAGGATCGTCGAACTCACATATTTGTCTGTATGAAATGGTCTTAAACTTGCACAACTGCCGATATACCCATTTGTTACCCATTTTAAATGGTCACAGGGTATTCAAGCAAATCAAACTCAACCCAATTTCGATAACAACGCAACGACTAAGGTTCAATTGAAAAATAACAAAAACAACGACTACAATGACGAGTCCCGCCGCCAACACCAACGACAAGTTTTGAGCTGATTTTTGAGCGCATTTGTTAACTGACCACACTGACGCCAGTGTTGGCAAATGTCGCTGCTGAAAAGTAGCTAAATCGTATTACAAAATGTAGTTAGAAAACGGCTTCATTGACAACACTTACTCAGAACCGATCTCGGGTCTCTAATTGACAAAACTGACTCAGACTCGAACTAGGACTAGCCACATACTCGGAGTAGGAGTGTTAATAGCCAAATTTAGCTACAAAATACTTCATTTGATAACACTGACTCAGACTCGAACTTGGAGTAGTATTGATAAACGACAAATTTAGCTAGAAAATAGTTAAATCGCCAACACTGACTCAGCCCCTAACTCCGACTCAAACTTGAATTGGTAGTTGGAGTGATAATTGCCAAATTTAGCTAGAAAATAGGTTAATTGACAACCCAGATTTTAACTCGGAGCCTTCTCCGAGTGTCCATAGTTAAACTCAGCTATTAATAGCCAAATATAACTATAAAGTATCTAAATTGATAAAATTGATTCATAATTGAAAACGAAGTAGGCGTTAAAATAGCTAAATGCAGCTAGAAAATGGCAGCATTGACTCAGACTCGAACGCGGATAAAAGCCAATTTTAGCTATTAAGCAGCTAAATTGGCCACATTTGCATATATACACATATAATAGCTAATTTCAGCTATTAAATAGCTATATTTTCAACACTGACACAGACTCGCACTCGGAGCAGGTCTCCCTGTTGGGCTTTCGTTTTCGCTTTGGGCTCAAGTCGAGCGCCACACGTAATAATTCCAAGTTTATTGCTTATTACAGCAAGTGCGAGCGAGAGAGAGAGAGAGAGGGAAGGGCCGAGAGATAGAGAGAGAGAGAGAGGGAGGGCATGTTGCTTGACCGAGAATAATTTGCTGGCAGGGAAAATCAGCTGGCATTGACTAAGGTCGCGGGCTGAAACTGAGCTGAAGATTCCAACCACAAAAAAAATAAATAAACGAGAAAAAAAATAATATAATTTGCATAGTTAACGCGTTTGCATTCCGCTTTCCTCAGCGCGTTTTGTTTGGCTTTTGCATAATTTGAGTCCAAGGGGGGGCGCTTCTTGCAGCTGGGCAGATGTTGTAAGAGAGAGAGAGAGAGGGGGCTTGAGAGTAGGGGGGGGGGAGAGTCATGTTGTCTTACATAATATTGACTCAAGCAGAAGATATCGAGCTGAGAGCTAAACAGAAATCAATTAACAACTTTTTTGGCACTTGTTAAACACTGAACACTGAGAACACTTTGCAGCACTTACTCTTCTGTTATTTTCGTGATTTTTTCGACTTATTTTTCTTTGTTTTTCTTTCTTTTTTCACGTAAATTCCGGCTGTTAAATCATTTTATGGAGGCATCACAGCGCAAGAGATCTCCAGATCCGTGTGCTTTTTTTTTAACTTTTTTTATTATATTTATAATTGTATTTGTATCTTGTTTTGTGCCCGACTTTCGTTTTCGTTCAGCTCGTGGCCGATAAAGCTGCTCTCCGGCCAGGCCTGGCCCTGGGCCCTGCAACCCGTTTATTGCGCTGCTTCCAGCTCTCGACCGACCGACCAAAATTTTCGTGTTCCCCCTTCTCGCTTCTATATATTGTATATATATATACTTCTTTTTTTTCGAGGGCTACGCGACGTGCAACGTTTTGGAAGCAACTGTGCGACGCTTGCATTTTGGCCCAAAGTTTTATAAACTTGGTCAGTAAGTCGCCGTCGCCGTCGCAGCCGCAGCCGCAGTCGCGGCGACGTCGACGTCAGCAGTAGCAGCAGCAGCTGTCGAGAGATAAATCAACAATTGGTATTCCCTCTCAAGATCAACAAAAAGTGCCCCGTCTCCGCTCTGCCTCTCCCCTGCCACTCTCCCTCTCCCCTGCCCCTAGACTAGTGTCCGAGTCTTTTCGGGCGGCGCTTTCGTAATGAGTCGAACTCAATTCCGATCGGTATTAGGCGACGGCGGCGGCACGCACCTCACTTAAATTTGTACCTGTGCCGATTTAATAGTCTTCGATGTGTGCGAGAGACCCTTGCATAAATCAAAGTGCTCAAAACCCACGCCCAAAATGCGATATTTCTTTTGGCATGTTTGATAGATGTTGTCAATGGCGCGTTGATGACGCCGATAAATCTATAGATTCACTTGCGGCTTTCTATGGGGGCGAAAATATATCGAGTATACATTATATAAAGTGGGATGTGTACCAAATTAAGTTATTTATTTACATACAAATAAAACTGTCTTGTGATATCCGCGTTTGAAATTTTGAAAACGGCACATTTTTAAATATCGCCTTTCTTTGCGATTCTCATGAGTTCAAGTAGGGTCCACAGACGGTGTTGGCAATCCAATAATTCCCTGCTTACGCTCAGACCCTTTTGGATATTAGCTCTGTCCCTCCCCATTATCTAAGTTAATCTAAAAATTATTTTCATTACTTAAAGTCAAGTTAACAACTAGACAAATAATAATGTCTCACATTAAAAAGCTGGAGCCTCGAGCCTATTAATAAAGATTTATTCCTACAGCAAAGTGAAGTAGCTGTATTTTTAATCTACAAATGCAAATATATTTTATATTTATCATATGCTAATGATCAATTCATAAAACTTTAAGCAAATGCCTTTCGTTATATTCAAGATTCGTATTTTAAATGAAGTTTATTCATTCTCAAACCCAACTGATCGTGAGCTTTCATTGCAATACAAAGTCGCCAGGTGGCGTTGCGCTGTTAACCTGGCAAACTGCTTGACAGTTAGAAATGAGCGTAACAAAGAAGCTTTAAAGCCCGCTCAAAGCTCAGCGCGACGCGCTGCGCAGAGCAGCGCACCTGCTGGCGCTCAGTCGTCTCGCGCAGCTTGTGGCCAACAGTTCGAAACGTGAAACGCACGCTGCTTCATTTTCAACGCCTACCGCCGCCCCCCAACCGCAGCGGTTGATAGTAAGAAAGAGAAAGAGAGAGAGAGCGTGAGCGAGAGAGAGGCAGTGCGAAGAGAGCAACAATAACAAGACGTGGGTGCTAAACGCGCGCGCGCAACTGAAAAATTCACGAAATTCATGAAAATATTTTAGTCAAGTGTGCGTGTGCCTGTGTGTGCGCGTGTCTGTGTGTTGGTGTTTGAAAAACGACAACAAAAAGCAAGTGCAAAAGAAAAATTCAAAACAGCTAACTAGTTTTTTTTTCTGCGCACAGAATACAACGAAATTCAAAGTAAACAACAAGCAGAAGCAGAAGCTGCAGCAGCTGTTGTTATTGTTTTTTGGCAAAGCTTTAAAGCGGGTCAAACGCATAAATGAAAAAAAAATAAAGCGTGTACGAAACGAAACGAAACGAAAATGAAATCAAATGCAATAAATTCAAGTGAAATGTGGCACAAATAACGCCAAAAGTTTGCAGTTTATAATAATAAATATCACGAGACGCGCGCAAAGCATGGAAATGCAATTACGAAACGCCGAAAATTGTGTAGCCAGTGTTGCCAAACGACAAAAAGTAGCCGAAGCCAATGTTGAAAACAGCTAAATCAGTTTAAAATTACAACTGCTTACGGCTGACAATAGCCAGAACTAGCTAGAAACTAGCTAAATTGGCAACGCCGCGCGCAGCTAAGGCCTGTTGCCGTCCCGCTCGCTCGCGCGAGCAGACTAGCGCGAAAGCTCGGCGTAGTATTTAAACAAAAACAAAAGAAGAATAAAAAAAAGGTGAAAAAAAAGGTTGAAAAAAAAAGGCTAAAGTTCTAATCACAGCCCCCGGAACCCGAAATGCTACTGCACCTGGCGGCATTGTTTTGAACACCTTTTGCGCATCCACAAATGGCCGCTAAAGTAAGACAACAAATTTCGTATGACTTTATGGGTCATAAATACTTTGTTCAACTGACAGGCAAACATACATTTTGTCGATCTCACTTACCTGCACCTGTATCTGTAGCTGTAGCTGTATCTGCATCTCAACCTGTATCTAGCTTGTATCTAAAACCGCAACAAACTGTGCGGTTTTTTTGGTTCTCACGCCAACAGAAAACCAAAAAAAAAATAGCTGCAAAACAGGCACCTTTGAACTTTAAAACAGGAGTGCAAAATGCAAACAGTCATCCATAAGGCAGACAAAAAAGAACAGCGGAAAATGCAGACAGTGCCCACAAGGTTTCAAGAAAAACCAACTGTTAAAGCGCACACATTGCACAGTGGGTCAATAGACTAAAACCAGTGAAAATATATAAAATACGATAGAAAATACTCTGTTAATTAGATAAGTGCTTGCAGTGAATGCTGGTCGCTGGTTCGATTTCCAGTTTAGGATGTGCAGGAGAATCATAGAGTAAAATTATGTTCTTTGGGAACTAACCTGCTCTATCTAGGATTTAGAACTCACAACTCTTTCAATTTGCTGGTCGCTGGTTCGAATCCCAGTTTAGGATGTGCAGGAGAATCAAATAGTTAAATTGTGCTCTTAAGGAACTAACTTGTTCTAACTAGGATTTAATAACATGTTATGCCCACTTAGAACTCACAACTCTTTCAATTTGCTGGTTGCAGGTTCAAATCCCAGTTTAGAATGTGCAGGAGAATCATAAAGTAAAATTATGTTCTTTGTGAACTAACCTGCTCTAACTAGGATTTAATAACATGTTATGCCCACTTAGAACTCACAACTCTTACAATTTGCTGGTCGCAGGTTCAAATCCGAGTTTAGGATGTGCAGGAGAATCAAATAGTTAAATTATGTTCTTTGGAAACTAATCTGCTCCAACTAGGATTTAATAACATGTTATGTAAGTTCTAAGTAGAACTTACAACTCTTACAATTTGCTGGTCGCTGGTTCAAATCCCAGTTTAGGATGTGCAGGAGAATCAAATAGCTAAATTGTGTTCTTTGGTAACCAACTTGTTCTAACTAGGATTTAATAACATGTTATGCTTACTAAGAACTCACAACTCTTACAATTTGAATTGTTTTCGTGGTGGATTCGAACCACTGCGTGCACTGATTGCGTTTTGTGGCCATGTGTCCAACCTGCAATGGGCATGGGGACTTTAGTAAGTTGCACTTGTTGCTGAAACAGGTTTTTTGCATTTGTTGCTGTTTTTATTGTTTTTATTGTTGTTGTTGTTGTTGTTGTTGTTGTTTTTTTTTATGATTATTGTTGCTTGTTTTTTTTATGACTGTAAACATTTTAATGGCGTTCGCGGCTGCATTTTTCATGTTTTTCCGGCTGACCTCCGTCTCGATCTGCACGGACCAGTTGCCAGGCCAACAATTGGTTCGACTTCTGGGCCATTCTAATTTGCCAATTGCCACCGTTTCTTGCTGTTGTGGCTGTTTTTTTAGCGCCTAACTGGAGCATTTGCTAATGCGTTGGCCAAAGGTCAGGGGTCGTGCCTATTAGTTAAGGCGATTGACACGCCCACAGTCGCAGCAAGAACTTCGCGTTTTGTTGGCAGCCTGTTAAACAAGCTATTTCGATAAAAGGCTTTGCCCCAGCTGATTACTAGATCAACGATTGGGTGTCGGACTTGCAAGCATGAGGTCGCTGGCTCAAATACGGTGGGGATTTACCCTTTTATAGATCGAATACATAGAGGCCTGATAGAAATTTCATGCCGGGCAATTTCTTTTTACTTGACTTTGCTCTGACTGGAGAGCGTCGGACCAGCAAGCGTGAGGGCGCTGGCTCAGAGTAAGCGTGGATTTTCACTTTTATAGGTCAAAAGTATAGGGATTGTGTAGGGATGGTAATTTTGTGTCCGCCCTTAGTTGGTAATCAGTTTAAGCGTCGGACCAGCAAGCGTGAAGTCGACGGCTCAAAGCCAGCAGCAATTTTCACTTTTATAGGTCAAATAATGCATTCGCCTGGCTGGTGGGAATTTCGTGTCTGCCTTCAGTTAAACGACGCCGGGTAATTTCTTTTTGTTTAAAAACAAATTGATGATAAGACGTGTAAACAACGGGGAAAACAAAAAGCACTGCGACAGCAGCAGCTGGCAGTGTAGGCAACTGAAAACCGTGTGTGAGAAACTGTGCGCAATTGAAAATTGAAAAGTTGTTTGGTCGGCTGCCGACAAGTTGGCCATAACCATAACACAGTGGCAATTGGATACGGCCCGGCCAATACCGAAAGACGGCGAGAGAGATCAGACATCAACAATTGGTTAACTATTAGCTGTTAACAGTTAAATGTTAACTGAAAACGGATCAGTCTCAGCTGCAACCGGACACCAGTTCAATGATGCTTAATTGTGCTTCTTGTTGTTGTTGTTGTCAGCTCAATGGAGCATTAAGTTGCATTTAGTTGTTGCGTTATGCAACAGCAACTGCCGCGCACTCAAAGATGCTGCCATAACGCATTTAGCGGCTATTTCAGGGACGCACTTTAGCTGCGCACTTTACGCTGTGCCTCTTCTTGCCCTCACTGCTCGGTGCTTGTTTCGGGGCTTGAATGTGGCATCTGAATGTGTGTAAATAGAGGAGCCCAAGAATATGCCTTCAACTCAACTTCTTTCACTCTTAAGCAGTAGTCCTCTCACTAGCATCTAAAAACAGGATATAGTGTATAGTATAAGGAAGTATTGCGCACATATTGGGAATATAGCTCGGCGCTTGTTGTACGATCTCGCTCGAATTTTCCAGGGTTAAATCAAGCAGAAGCCCAAGACTATATTTCAATTGTTTTTCTTTTAAGCTGGGGGTTAGAGTCTCCCACTTGCTTCTAAAAATAGAATATAGTGTATTGTATAAGGTAGTACTTCGTATATATTGGGAATATAGCTCGGTGCTTGTTGTCCGATTTTTATCAAATTTAAATATGCCTTCAAACCGTCTTCGTTTAATATTGGGCGATTGTCTCCCACTCGCTGGGGCAATGCTGCTTCTTCCCCTCACTATGGGCAATGCTTGCTTGCATAGGATCGGTGCTTGTTGTCCGATCTCAATCAAATTTCAGTGCCTAAGTATGCCATATGCCATATGCCATATTCAATGGATTCAGGGTATAACAGATTCTCTCTTCAAATCGTAGTTTATCACTTCCCCATTTGGTTATTATCGCTGTTAGCTGGAAAGCTGCTCTTGGCCAACACATTCACAACGACAGACTCCCGTTTTCAGAGTCGCATTCAATTGTTGACCGCAAATTGTACATTTGGCTTAATGACTCGCTGGCACGTTAACTGTCGTTTTCAGTTAAATTGCAGTTAATTAATTCGCAATGCATTTTAAACTGTTGCACAAGCTGCTGCTGCCAGCTTTATCGAGGTTCAAATTCAGGCCGTGGTCAAAATTGAATTGCGGCCAAATGGAAATGGAAATGAAATTATGTCATGTGCCACAATATGGCATATATTTAATCAGACACCAAATTAACGAAATATTATCCGTAAAAAACTGAAACTAGAGAGCTTTTATAGGTAGACCCCTGTTATTTAGTATATGCATATATTTGTATGCCATATTTAGGCGCTGAAAATTTCATAAGGATCGGACTCTAAGCACCGAAGTTAACCAAGACTGCATTCCTTAAGGCTAAGGGAAGAACAAGCACAGCCCTGCTTGTATGTGTATGTGTTAATGTATGTGTGTGCTTGTGCATGTATCTATGAAAGGAGTTTTTAATTCTCGTACAGACAGCTTTCGCATCTCTTAGTCGGGCATAATTTGATCGAATTGCAACTCTCTTTAAGTCGATTTCTAATACGTTTTCCAGAACATTGTTTTTTTTTGTTATCTTCAAGGCATTCCAGCTGTGACTTAACGTGGGCGTTCGTTTCAGTTTCTGTGGAATTTATAGACGCGCCCATGAGTCAGGGGCGCAGCTGGGGCGCTGCTGCTGTCGCTGCTGCGAAATCGCCATAAACAGTTTAGGTAAACTGCATTTCTTTAATTAGTGCGAGCTGCACGTGCCAAACCTTTAACGAGCAGCTGCTTTAGATACAGCACTCTCTGAAGTCATATCTGCATATAGTATGTGCGCTAAATGTTTTCTCCATAGCCAAAAGTCTTTTATACATTGTGACAGGCAGCTCCGGCTTAGGAGAATATTGTGTTAAAATGCTTGTTAACTTTGTCATCAACTTTGATATGAACTTATCTACTCGGCAAGTCGGGCATCTCAGCTAAAAGTGATCTAAGCAAACGGACATTTGTTTAACAATGTATTAAAGCTTAAACAATAATAGTTCACAATAATACAGGAACATAAGCAGCTGAACATATGTTTAGCTTCACGTTAAACTGGCTGCCTACTGTAACAACTACGTTGACAGCAGCAATTCTGCTTAATATTATGACAGGGAAATCAATTAAAGTGAATAAAAGCAGAAGAATGTTTGCTTAAAAACATGTAAAAGTGCTTGTTAACTTTGTCGTCAACTTTGATAAATCATATCTTATCATTATGACAGGAAGAATTATCTTATGTAAAATAATTTGTGTTTAACAACATGTTAAAGTGCATGTCAACTGTGATGCATATTTAACAAAAGCCATTAAGTCACTTAAATGGCAGGCCAGAAATTTAATGAAATATAGGTAAAAGAAAAGGTGTTAAGCAAGCATGTCTAAGCGATTGTTAACTTTGACATCCACTTTGACTTGGACTTTGACAATAATTTACATATTTTGAAAAGCATGCCGCCAGAGCCTGTCATAAGCCAAAGAATTCGTGTTGAACAACATGTTGAGGTGCTTGTCAACTGTGATTCATGTGTGTGGCATTCGACAAGCTGAGAGTGTGCATTTCATTAGAACGATACGTGTAAAAATCCGATACAAATTATAGTTCTCCATGGAGGCAAACATAACAATGGAACAGACATACGTGCGCTGCGCCTCGTGATGGCGGCGGGGTTCAGGGTCAATTGTTGTAAGGGAATTGCACGATACTCGGATACTCTCCGTTTGCATTATTTGTATTATTAAGTTGTGTCGCAAGTTATTATTTGTTCTTCATAATTATTTTATTACGTACAAAGGAAGTTGACGACATCTGATGTCGATTTTGTCATGCGTGGCTTGGAATTAAAAACAATCGAAACAAATGCCAAAAAAAAAATTAATACTGCGGACTCACCTTCATGGCTGACAAATTGTGTGTGTGTGTGTGTGTGTGTGTGTGGATGCGGCAGTCGTGAGCTGCCATATGCTAGATATAAGTATTCCTCTAATTGCCGATGTGCTTATGAGCTTAATAACTATATTTTGTAATGCGCCGAGCTCCGACACGGAGAGGAAGCTCAGCTCAGAGCTGGCTAATTGAAACTTGTTGTTGGCCGGCCAACCTTTGTCGGCGCTATTAGATATGCCAGTTGCCCGTCTATAATTAGCTAGCTAGCTAGATCTGTGACTACTTGGCTTTCTAATAATTTAGTAAGCATTAAGATTCTTGGCGCCTATTAAAGCCAAAGATGCGCCTCGTGTTCAGCTCAGTACATTCCTCGCTACACTGCGCTACAAATTTATGTGCAATTTGAACGATTTTACTGAGCTAAATTAGCCGGTTTTGCCCGGGTCTAGTGAGTCTTAATCGTATCGCTCGAGTCGCCACCCTGCTTCAGTCCAAACTCATAACAAATATTCAGTTTTCCGTCGTCTTGTTTTTATTTTATAATAAAATTCAAATTTTTGAATAATAACAAAATATATATATATAAAAATCTAAAATTACCGCTTGACTTGAACTGGCGACCTTCCGCTCGCTAGTTCGACGCTCAAATATTGAAGTCACGCATGCTCATGATGTGAAGGTTCTGTGAAAACTATGTTGTATATATATATCCATTTGAGTTTGAAAATGTACTGTGCAACCAGTTCATCGCTTCCTCACATCAATTCTCCGTTACTTGAACCGACGACCTCTCGCGTGCTGGTTCAACGCTCATATATTAAAGCCAAACACACTTGTGTATATGACTGCGTTCTTTTTCAATTGCATTTTATACAAATTTTGACCTTCGTTGTCCTCTACTTGAAGGTCGAGGATGAAAACCTCGTCTTAGTCTTCACTTTGGACCCAAACGGAAGGGTATATATACATATATAGATATATGAAGACTTGTGCAATTTGATCGACTTCGAGTTTGAAAACTGATAGATCAACTAGTTTATGGCTTATAAATGTATTAATTACTGTTTATTTTATAATGTCTGATGTCTTGTTTGGCCACAACACATTTCAGTTTATTTATTGCGTTGGGCTATTTTCTAGTTCTAACCGATCGATAACAGCCGACAATTTATGATCGACAAGCGCAGTTAAAGCTGCTCAGATTTATATTGTGCCCCTCAACTCTTTTGCAGGGTATTACAGCAGCTTGTTTACATTTGCAGTGTTTAGATGCTGTTTGGCTGATAAAATTGTATTGATATTAAATAAACATATTAAGTGCTCGGTTCGTGTCGCTCCGCGATTTCGCATGTTTAATCAGCTGCGGCCCATTGTTCCACACAAAGGCATAAGCTGATTTTTTCAGTCCGACTAGATGATAAATACGCCACTTTATATAAATAAAATGTAAACTAACCAACAACAGCAGCAAAAATGCCTTGTGGGCGTTTGCCTTGATTTGTATTTGTTCTTGTCATGAGCTTGGAATTAAGAAAAATTCTTTCGCACGCCGCAAAATGTCTTTGCCAAGCGCTCTGAAGCTCTTCAATCAGGCTAACAATCAGCGCAGCACTTCGAGTACTTCAAACTCAAAGTCATCCAATTGTCGGGCACTTCAGAATTGTTCTGTTCGCCTTTGACGTTGATTGAGCTCCCAAGCTCTGCCAGGTTACCTTATTTTTTTTTCCCAGTCCCAAACTTGAGACAAAAGTTGCCGCGCCAAAAGCCAAATTGTCGACGACTCATTTGCGGCCGCGCTTGTTGTAAACTTATTGCGCGCATGTTTTTAAGTTTAGAACGCTGATGTTATAAACAAATTAAGAAAATACAAAAAAAAGTAACGAAAAGAATCAAGAATCAAGTAAACAAGCGCAAGTCACGATTGTTTGACAGAAAGATACCCTGCACTTCTTTAAATATCTTCGTTAAGACATTCAAAATGAAGTTCTAACAATGTTTTCGTTTGCTTAATATTCTTTAAATGGAAATAACATTTCAATATACTTTAATTCTAAAGTTTTGATTATTCACAATTGCAAAATCAAAAGAAATGGTCGTTGATTCGGTTTACGCTTCGAACCAGCTTCCTGCCTTTCATTTTGATGTCTGAAGCTGGCTTTACGCAGTCTTGAGCCCAGATTTTGATACACAACATGCTTATAAATATATTTCAAAAACTTTAAAGAAACAATTTTATATATATTTATATATTATTTATGAGTATTCAATATATGATTAATTGCATAGCTCGGCTGAAAAGAAAGAAACTTGGCCAAACCAACGCAAACATTTGTTTGGCTTAAAGCCAGCTTATATATCTATATACCTGCTGCCTCACGTCCCCATCTACCCCACTTAGTACCGCTCAATGCCACAGGGTATCAGCTACAAAATCAAGAACGGCCATGTAAAAAAGTCGATGGCTTTCTTATAATAAAACTGCGAATATAATATATATATATATATACAGATAGTTTTTTTTCTCGTTAAATTAATGAGCAAAAAATCAGCTGAAATTTAATAATAATAATATGAATAAACAAAGCGCAAAAATGATATGCTAGCCATAATAATTCGAGATGCTGGGTTTTCTTGCGGCTCATCTGTCATGCAAATCTCTTGTATTTAATTCTTCTTACACGCATCCTGCTTGGCTCCATACAATTAATCACAGTAGCGTACGAATCATTCGAAGCTGCAAAAAAGAAAATAACAATTTGCTCGTACATTGAACTTTGGGTTCTATGCTTTGGGTTTTGGTGGTTGGAAAGGCCTTTGATTAATGTAAGCGTGGCCAAAGATAGAAATGCCGCATAATTTTGGGCCAATGCTAATGTTTGGTGCTTCGCGTTTTTTGGCTCTTGGCCATCATCGATATCTGCATGACAATTGGTTTATTGTTGGCCAAAAGATTTCTATAATTTTGGCGCTACACATTACGCAACTTGTGGGCGGCCAGCCAGGGGGCGGGGCGGGGCATGGCGCACCCATGCGGCTGCATTCCGAGTGAAATTGCCAACGTAATTTTGCGCAAGCCAACAAATTGTTGTTTTTTTTTTTGTTTTTAATTGATTTCTCGACAGGCAATGACACACATTGCCATAAGCCAAACGATTTGTATATATGTATATAAATATAGAGTTGCTTATGCCTATTTAAACGGCAAACGCAACTGTCAAGCGCCATGTACAACTGGGCGTATGCGTGTTTTTTATTATTTTTTATTGAGCCGACCTCAGTTATCACTCTTACTTAATGTGACTTATAATGATGTGTTCATGTATGCCACGCTCCGATGGCCAATAGCTCGGCAAGGCTAGGGATCTGCAGTCGGCCATAGATCCCATATACCATAAATATATATAACTGAATTTCCAGTTGTTGCCCAACTTATTTGTGAAATGCTGTCTGCTTATAGACTGGAGGCTTTACTTGAAATCTGCAGCCACTTTTTTAGGCTTTAAGTTGATTTCATTGTGAAGCCTACACTTAAAAGTAGACTCAAGTTGTTTTAGTGGCTTTTGTATTGGTTTGATTTGCACTTATATAAGTTAATATTAACCCTTACAGATTCTAGGTATCTGCAGTCGGCCATAGATCCCATATACCATAAATATATATAACTGAATTTCCAGTTGTTGCCCAACTTATTTGTGAAATGCTGTCTGCTTATAGACTTGAGGCTTTACTTGAAATCTGCAGCTGCTTAATATAGACATTGGTTGGATTTTAAAAGTAGCCTCAGGTTATTTTTGTATTAGTTTGATTTCTACTTGTCCAAACTCTCCATCATTCTCTTAGGCTCAACCTAAGCTAAATGAGCTGTTGTTTATCTTCGATGCTTTCAATTCTTTCTTTGTGAGATCTTATGGAAATAAATAAGGCATAAAAAGTGTTTAGAAGCCTAAAACTGTACCAATAAAACATTTACAAATCAATTAAAAGGTAAACTTATCTTGCGAGCATCTTTTTCTTTTTTAATTTCAAGTACTTACCCAAGGTAAATCCCCAATATTGAGAAATTCATTTAAGCAATAGACAGATTTTTTTCACTAAAATAGTTGAAATCCCCAACTAGTACTGTACCTAAGTATCACGACTCACAATTCAAACTCAGCCATTAAATAGATAAGTTATGCAGCTGAAGTTTCGCTAATTGGAATTCTACTGAATACTTAGGCTTTCATCTATGTGAGTATGGCTGTAGGCTAATATCTAGATAATTAGCTGTTATTCTCTTGAAATCCTCAAATGCAATGCATGTGGCTTAGTTTGAGCCATACTGCATGCTTGTAAGCATCGGCTGGGGGATAGATAAATAGCATTACAAATCGCTCGATTTTCACTAATTGAAATTCTCTTTCACATTTCCGACTTTTTATGCAGCAACAGCAAGGCGTACGATTTCCCAAGGCAGCAGCACAGATAAGTCGCCAGCAAGACTTGAATTATTGCACGCAACTGCAGCAACAGCAGGAGGAGGAAGAGGCAGCAGTGACTGCAACTGCAACTGCAACCGCAAGACGCACATATTGCAACGCAGCTTCGGCTACAAACAATTGTGGAAAAGTGTGCAAACGAACAATAGAAACTAGATAGAAAATCAGCAAAAGCGGCAACAAAACAGAGCAACTGGCAACGGGCAGCTTGCAACGTGCCACATATATAAACTACTTCTTTTTTTTTTGGTATATGCTTCGGTTACGATGTCGTTGATGAAAATTCATCGAAGCAATGAATCATTTTGGCGCTGTGGATCGTTCATGTTGCTGCTGTCACTGTTGTTGCTGGCAGAGGCTGCCGCGACTGTCGCCAGCGAAACCCAAACGAGTGCAACAAATGCTGCAATTAGACAGCAGCAGCAGCAGGGGATAGAGGCTGCAACTGCAACTTCAACGGCAACTGCTGTCAGCGAAAGCCAAATGCCAGGCAGCTCGGCTGAAATTTTGAGCGCCAGCGATGTGGGTAAGTTTCCCTATATATATAAGTTACACATATTGCACATACGTTAGACAATAGATCAGCTGCGCCCCTTGGCAGCTAACCCGGCAAAATTATGCGCTCGCATTTTGTGGGGAAAATTGGCCAAAACTAGCCGAAATAAATCTATGCCAATTATTGACCAACTGCCAGCAGCAGCAGCAGCAACAACAGCAACAACAAAAGCGGCGCAACAATCACCGCAACGACGCAACTTGGCCAACAGTCGCAGTTGGCTGGCAGACAGAAAAAGCACAAAATAACACAAAAAACAATTAGCCAGCTGAAAGTGCGGCAGAAGAGGCAACAACAGCAACAACTACAACAAATGGCATTGGCTAATCTCAGCGCAGTTGAAAGACAGCAAAACGTCGTCAACATACTTATATGTAGCCCAGTCTAAGTCTAGGCTCTCCGTTATTTACTCCTCAAGTTTTTCTATCTTGCTGCGAGTCCGAAATTTGTAGTTATCGATTAATCGATATGCTCCTTGTGATAGTCCGATTCGATGTGAACTGTTTTATTGCAGTAAGCTTTTAAATTATTTGAAAAAGTCTAGTTATCGATTAATCGATGTGTTCCCTGTTTGGTTTTCTGATTCGATTAGAGCTGTGAGAACTGCAATTACTATTATTTGAAAAAGCTTTTAAATTATTTAAAAATTTGTAGTTATCGATGAACCGACTCATCGATTTGTTGCTTGTTGATTTCGATTTGAGCTGCGAACTTTTTAATTACAAATACTGCAATAGCAATAGATTTATAGTTATCGATTAATCGATTGTCCGATCCGATATAATCCTTGCGCCCTATATTATTAGCCCGAGCAGGTTTTATTTGTAGCACAAGCTTGTTATGTATTTCCCAGTACCTAACAGTTGCTCCTTAGGAGAATTTGGGAGTTTCTTGGGAATCTATCGATAACTTTCTTATGTATCTTCAGGCAAAGAACGGTTTATATCGAAACACCGATTTGAGCTGGTTACAAATAGCTTTTGATCAGTTATATAACAACATCTATATACGTAGTTACAATCGGCTCTTTTATCTAACTAGCTGTTCGAAAATCTTGGTTTTGTAGTTGATTTTGGTCTCGATAGCCCCAATAACAAATTGTTTACTTCGATGGGTTCGGCATGCCGCAAATAGCCTTCATTTCCTTTCCTTTGCGGCTTCGACTGCCGCTGCGGCTGCGGCTGTCTGTTGCATGTGAACTTTAAAGCCCGACTTTGTCCGTGGCGCGCTCACATACGACGACGCTCGTTAAATGTTATTTCTATCAAGTATTTTTTTAAGCAATTATTCGTTAGGTTGCGCCGCGTGTGGGCGTCAATTGTCAATTGTCTTTGTGGCAGTTCGAGTGTTTGGCCAGCTCGGCGGTAGGCCTAGTTGCCAAGGCCCGCATTTTCACTTAACTAAAGTAAAAACCCAAAAAATAAATACAATTATGAGTGAGACAGTCGCATGTGTCTCACATACCCTGTGCTCAAGTCGGACCTCTATTATATATACTTATATATATATATATTTTTTTTTAAAGATATCTGCGATTGTATATTTATCGATTTCTGCTAGATTTGTCGATAATTTTATAATGCGATTGATATGTGAATGGATTTCAGCATTTATCGATCTTTGCAAGAGTTATCGATACATTTAAACTAAATATGCGACTTGTCTAATCGGATAGTATTCGGATATCGACATATATCTATTTTTGACTGAGTTGTCGATAGTAATTATCGATTATTACAATTAGTAGAGTTATCGATCTTTTTGAAAAACCTTATCTACAATTGTTATACCAAAAAAACCCTTCAGTAAAATTTGATGCAATTACTCTTCAGGATTAGGAGTTCAACGACTTCATATAGACAAAAGAATGCTGCACAGACTTAGCCTTTTTTGGGTCGACTCTTGATATCTGATTAACATTAGCTTAGAATACTTTCCACTGCCTGTTACATACATTTGCAGAAAACCATTCCAACCCTCTTCGTCTCTTATCAATGGGTATATTGTATAAAAACTGTTTAAAATTATAAATTTATGCATGTTTATTCATGAGCTGAACTATGGGCTCTGCTTTTATTATGATTTGAATTGTGTGTGCGTGTGTGTGTGTGTGTGTTACCCACTCACATATTTTTGGTTAGCCACAAGTTTGTCGTACATAAACAGGTTGTAGCCGAAAGCCAAGAAAACTAAACAAAAGTTTAATGCATTTTGATTATTTTTAATGTATGCGCGCTTAAATCTCTCGGTGCTAAAAACCGCTGCCCCCCGCCCAACCTGGCGATGAATGCGCATATATTTTATTTTTATTTTTGGGGAAGCTTCGTTATGTTACGAAATGCAGTTCTTCAGCTCTTGAGCTGGAAGTTGTTGCGGCTGCTGCTGTTGTAGGTGTCGCTGGCCAGCCAAAGAAAAAAAATCCTCAACATAAACATCAATATTGGTAGTATCTTGTCTCTCTCTCTCTCTCTCCATCTGTCTGTCTCTATTTGCTGGCTCTTTGCTGTGTGTGCTCATTGTTGTTACCTGTTGTCTGTTTGCCTGCTGCGGCTCATGTGCGTTCATTGCGTAATCCGACACATTTACCTGGCGTATTCAAGCGTTGGCAGCCATTCGCCAGCTCAAACCGAGCAGAAGACCGACTCATGTGCGCTAAATCAGTAAAGTCAACAAAAAGCCCAAAAGCAACAGGCAGAAAGGCAGCTGGTGGCAACAGGTCTGCCAGGTAGTCAACCAGCTAGCTGCCAAGTGCAGCTGCTTGCAACGTCTGCTGCATCTGCAACTCGTACTCGTACAGCCTGGCGTATGCGCAATGTGGGCGTTCTGCCACATGCGACTCATACGACTCGTATGCCAGCTAGTCGCCCATCTTAAGTGGGTGTAGCTACACACACAAACACACACACATAAATATAATTGCACATTGTGTGGGTGCTTATGATTCATTGTCTTCGACCACTATACACAAAAAAACAAAAGAAAGAATTGCACGCAGAAGCTTGAATACCCTTGCGGATATACGGCTTACAGCTATGCACATATGGAGCATAATTTTAAGACCAAAGTTCATTTCCCTGAGAGCTATATGATATACTCGTAAAATATAGCTACTTTATATATGACTTCTTCTTATATATAGCTTCTTTCTTTTGACTGTTACATACTTGATGAAAAAACTACAATACCCCTTACTTGGGGTATCTGCATGGTAAAAAATGCCAGTTGCTGCTGTATTACGAGTTTAAAGTACTTGAAAATATGATTTCGAGCTCTAGCCCTGCAATACCCAACTCCCCACTCAATCCCTGTCATCCCTCTGCTCCACACTCAACCCCTGCTCCCCTCTGCTCGCCACTCGCCCAGCAGGCACACGTAATCGTGTAAATATTTCTCTTCAAGCGACTGCCGCGTTACGTGTTTTGTTTATGTTTACAGGTAAAAAAATAAAAATTCAAATATTCAATAATAATATTATTTTTATTTTTGTAGACACTTTAGATTGAAGCAAAGTTTTTAGGGGTCTTTAGCGCTAGGGAAAGTTAAACGTGCTTAGACCCGAAATCCGTTGAATATACTTAAAGAGGGTAAAAAAAGGCATCTTTTAACAGTCATGTCCGTCTGCCTATCCGAGTGCCCATATGTATGAAAACGTTGATCTCAAAGACGAATAGCTTCGGAGCTAGAATTTTCAACGTAGCTCATCCTGGCGCTCGAACAGATCGAGTTTGCTTTAAATCATCGATAATTCGCCGATGAAAGCGTATAAGATCTAGAGACATTCAATTGGGAACGAGAACTCTAGTATTCTATGCACAGATCCTGCATATTTCCCTTCTTGGCAACCTCCCACGTTCCCAACGTGAAATAAACCCAATTTTGGAGATATAGTCTTCAGCTTTGCTTTGTAGGAAGAAAAAGCACACTGCGTACATACATAGAAGAAGGCTTGAATGTTTGCATTGTCTGCTGTGTCCAGGGTATCTTTTAGTCGTGCCCCTCACTTGTTGCCAGCGCAATTTGTCAGCAGTTTTTCAGACCTTTTTCCCTTCCATTTGTACATTTTGTGCAAACATATTTTCATAACTCGCCAGCGCTTTTCTCTGCGTTGGCTTTTGCCAACTAATTTTTCATTTAAAAGCGCATTTAAAATTGTTTTTTTTTTTTTGCGGCTCATAAAGGAAAAGGAAATGAAACGCGTAATTTGTGTGCGGTTCGCGGCGGTCATTAAAAAAAAACTGTTGGCGATTTTTTAACTCTGGTATTCGCTTGTTTTTTGCGTTATTCTGTTGTTTCTTATTTTCGGCTATTTACATAAAATGTTTATAATTTCATTTTCATTAGTTGGCGTTGCAAAATGCGGCTAATCAAACGAACAAACTAACAAACGAACAAACTAACAAACGAGCAGGTTTATTGAACTCTTGGGCTCCGCATTTTGTCATCGACTTTGGCCAATTTTCCCCCCTTGTTTTATGGCCCATGATTAATTAAACGCAGCTGACCCAAAGTCGCGCTGCTTATGTAAGCCGAGAGCTTACATGATTTAGTTGGCGGGGAAACTTAATTTGAGGCGCAAAAGAAAGCAAACGGCCAACTAATGATGCCAAAGTTGCACGCGGGTCGCGGCCAAAAGGGTCTGTAAGAGAAAAAAAAAATGAAGAAAAACAAAACATTTTGCATTGCGTAAAACTGTGCAACAAGCTGCTGATGCGCGAGCTGCTGACGCTGCTGCTGCTTCTCTTGTTGTTGCTGCTGCTGTTGATGATGACGAGCATGTGCCACGCCCCGCAGCCATTTGCAACGCCTCAATGCACAACAACAAACAACAACTTTGGCTATTGAAAAGTTTTCAGACCGAGCCAAGCGACTCGCACTGAATTCGTAAAGCCAAAGCCAAAGCCAGACAAATAAACGGAAGCCTCAAACTGGGCACTAAAAAACAAAAAAAAAAAAAAAAAAAAAAAAACAAA